GTGTGGTTCTCCGGGTGGCTGGGGAGGACGGAGTTACCAATGCTCGAGCTCGCCTCTTAGATGCTCTCCGAGCACGCGAAGCGGCTGCTCAGAGTCCTGGCCTCAAGATTGATGCCAAGGCGCGTTTGGGGAATGCTCTGAGGAAGCGAGGCTACTTCCCGGAAAGCAAGATCCTGCTAACAGACGTTCTGACGGCCCGTGAGCGCACCCTCGGTGCCGAGCATCCTGATACACTGGCCTCAGTCAACCATTTGGCAAATTGCTGCTCAGACATGGGCCAGCTGAAAGATGCAGAAGCGCTCCACAGGAGAGCTTTGGAGGCCCGTGAGCGCACCCTCGGTGCGGAGCATCCTGAGACATTGACCTCAGTCAACAATTTGGCAAATTGCCTCCAGGCCAGGCGCCAGCTGAAAGATGCAGAAGCGCTCCACAGGAGAGCTTTGGAGGCCAGTGAGCGCACCCTCGGTGCCGAGCATCCTTCCACATTGGCCTCCGTCAACAATTTGGCAAATTGCTGCTCAGACATGGGCCAGCTGAAAGATGCAGAAGCGCTCTACAGGAGAGATTTGGAGGCCAGTGAGCGCACCCTCGGTGTGGAGCATCCTTCCACATTGGACTCAGTCAACAATTTGGCAATTTGCCTCAGGGCCAGGGGCCAGCTGAAAGATGCAGAAGCGCTCCACAGGAGAGCTTTGGAGGCCAGTGAGCGCACCCTCGGTGCGGAGCATCCTTAAACGTTGGACTCAGTCAACAATTTGGCAGTTTGCCTCGAGGCCAGGGGCCAGCTGAAAGATGCAGAAGCGCTCTACAGGAGAGCTTTGGAGGCCCAGGAGCGCACCCTCGGTGCCGAGCATCCTTCCACATTGGCCTCCGTCAACAATTTGGCAAATTGCTTCAAGGCCAGGGGCCAGCTGAAAGATGCAGAAGCGCTCCACAGGAGAGCTTTGGAGGCCAGTAAGCGCACCCTCGGTGCGGAGCATCCTGACACGTTGATCTCAGTCAACAATTTGGCACTTTGCCTCCAGGCCAGGGGCCAGCTGAAAGATGCAGAAGCGCTCCACAGGAGAGCTTTGGAGGCCCGTGAGCGCACCCTCGGTGCGGAGCATCCTGAGACATTGACCTCAGTCAACAATTTGGCAAATTGCCTCCAGGCCAGGGGCCAGCTGAAAGATGCAGAAGCGCTCTACAGGAGAACTTTGGAGGCCCAGGAGCGCACCCTCGATGCGGAGCATCGTGATACATTGGGCTCAGTCAACAATTTGGCAGTTTGCCTCAGGGCCAGGGGCCAGCTCAAAGATACAAAGAGCGCGATGGGAAGCCTTTGTAGCTGCCTCAACATGTGCAGGAGGTCGTCGCCGTCAATAGAAACGGAATAGCCCGCAATGCCTCAGCGGAAAAAGGCGATCCTGCGGTTATCACCCAGTGTCCTGACATGATTTGAATCTGAATTGAGATAAGACATGGTTGGAAAATCACCCAGTTCGATGATTTTCCCAGCGAACTTCCATTCAGTTTGGGGATTTCCCAGCCACGGCCATGACCCAGGTCGCAGTGGAAGCAGCCGATGATACGCCGCGATGAACGATCCGTGCTATGAGTTGCTTAAAAAACTGAACGATGCGGCGATGGATCGCGATCCGGAACGGGGAAAACCAATGAACATGGGTGAAATGGGGAATGGCACTCAACAATTTACGGCCATACATCATAATTTATAATCGATGTTTTATAGATGATGATTTTCCATTGCAATGTAGCAATGGGAAGGGCAGGGCCCAATGAGGTGTAGAAATTATTCAATGTTTCATCATTTTCATCCACTGAGGCTGGAATGGTGCTCAAATTTTGACACAAACCCATGTCAATCTCTAGCTTCGAAGGATGTCAACTTGTGCGTCAAATATGTCGCAGGGCTATGACAAGAGAAGTGGGGTACCAATGCCTCCATGGCTAGCTCGGGGGAGTTTTCCAGGACGAAACCGTTGCGGGTCTCCATTGCCCAGATGCGTGGTGGTTTCATCGTCCGGACATCGACTTGGATGGCTCAAGGACACCTGAGCCCTCCTCGTGCCTTCATATATTTTTCTCCACAATCCATATTTCATTGTCCAGGCCTCAGGTCCGTTGATGTTTCCGAAGAATTCCGAAGATGTTTTGAGAACATGGGTAGAAATAGCCATGGAAAATTGGCAAACAAGGGTCGATCAATGTTCGAAAACATCAATGTTTAATGTGTTTCCTAGAGTTTTGGGCAAGTAAACGTCAATCTAAATCCCTGCTATTTCCTATGGAACGTTGCCGGTTGAAGCCTTGGTGTTTACATCTGAGCTGCTGAGGTTCGGGAATTCCCTACCCTTGCCGCTGGATCTTAAGGCCTCCTTGCTAGCCATGGATTGGAGTGAATCGAAGCGTGGGATGAAATTGACTGGGACCATTGGGAAAATACGGGACAATTCCGTACCATCATTTGACTTCAATGATTACAGAATTATATTCTATTGAAAATTATCACCCACCCCTAAAAATGTATTTTAGGGGGGGAGAGGTTGGGGAAAAAAAATACATTTACCGTTCTCCAAGAATTTGATTCCCCAGGACCCCCCCTAAATACATTATTTGACCGGTGGGTGTACGTTAAATGTAGGATCCATGGGTCGGGATATCCAACCCCCCCCAGGATCTTTTATTTTGGGGGGGTGGTTTAATACATTTTACGGGTTTGGTTTTTCCAGGATCCCCGGGAATGCTTAATTTTTTTCTGGGAATACCCTTCTTTGAAAAATGTATTTTAAGGGGGTTGGGTAGCCGAAAAGCACATCATTTTTGGAAAATGGAGGGAATAGATCTGGCTAAGGTAGTCATTGGTACCCCCTGCAATGCATACATTTCAGAATATTTAAGATCAAGTATATTTCAGCATCCCCCTTGGAATTTCCTCTACAGAATCGGGAACGTTACTTCCTGGAAAATGGTGCATTTTAACCCCCTGACTTAATAAGGGGTACCTACCCAGTGTCAACGCTTAGTGTCAACGGTTTCAATTTTATAGAGGACCTTGGGGCCTCTAATTCTATAGAGATTTCATGTTGAATACAGCACTGAGGACTAGTCAGCAGAGAGTCTTAGGGACTGCGATTCTACAGTGGGATACGTTCTCTTTGGATGTATGTCATGTTCTTCAATTTTATAGAGAAGCATTGGCAGAACCAATTTCCCACAACAATTCTTTCATCATCCTTCATCATCCTTGATCATCCTTGTATATTTTGGAATCATTTGGAATCTTGACATATTTTTGGAAACTTTTGGATACTTTTGGGATATATTGGAGATTTGTTGGAGATCTATCATCAGGGTTTCATCAGTTATCATCAGTTATATTCAGCAAATATGTACAATTTTGACATTTCAATATCTCACAAAAGCAGCTTTTTCTTGTTTACAAACTATAAAAGTGACATTTTTCATTTTGCATCATTTTTCCGTTGTGTCTCCCCGTTGTGTCTCCCCTTTCTTTCTCCCCGTTGTGTCTCCCCAGTGTGTCTCACCGTTTTTGGGTCGAAGTCCTCGAGCCAGCCTTTCCGCCTTTCCGCTAAAAAAGAGCAAACGGATGGAAACAGATGGATACAACATGAAACAAAATGAAACAGAGCGACTTTCAAGATCTTTGAAATTGAAGGGGTTGACAGTGAACACTTGGAGCCTTTGAACTCTATAAATTTGGGAGTGCATAAGGCAAGCTAGGCAAGAGTAACTGGAGCATTCAGGTCAGCTGTCAATGAAGGAGACTTGGGGAACCTGATTTTATAGAAGGCCAACTAACCCCCCCAACCATCTACGAGAGTGACTTGGCGGCATCGATTCTATAGAGATTGTCAACTTGAAAATACCTTGGGGTCTCTGATTCTATAGATGCATTTTCAGAAAGAGGGTCAGGGCCTCCCGGATTATCATTATAAAATTGTCAACACCAACACTCTCACTTAATTCAAAGGGGGATATTTCAGCCATTTTATGGCCCATGGGTTTCAGTAGGTTTCCCAGGAAAAAAAGATCAATTGGATTGAGGTGCAGACCCCCCCATGCTTGCATACATTTAGAAAAGTTTATGTATCCATTGGCTCTTGTCAGTGGTGCCCCCCACAAAGCATACATTTTCAGGTTCAATGCCCCTACCAATAATACATTTCCAGCATCTGGCACTCATACATGCCTCATTTTGAGGGGTTACCCCCCCCCTAGTTCCCATACATTTTTGGCAAAAAGTGAGGGGGTTAACCCCCCCCTTATGTTCATACATTATCAGAAATGTAGGATCCACCCCCCCTACTCCTGAACCAGTTGGGGTCGGGGATTGAAAATTATGAATTCTGATTCTAAAATATTCTAAATACCATCCCCAGGTTATAGATACAGATTGGGAAGGGGAAATATCCCAAGATTCCCCAAGTATATTTCAGCACGTTTAATTTAATATATATATATATATATATAGAGCTATTGAACATGGCCATTTAGTTCGTTGAGAGTATATCCATGTATATCCCAATGAATCACAAGTTGTTATGGTTCATCCACCATTTTTGATGCTTGAATTCTAGTTTTTCCTTATTTTTGATGGTTAAATCTTGGTCAAGCTCGATTTTCTTGAAGTGTAACCATTTTCATTTTTGTAATGGTGAAATCATTGAAATCCACCATTTTTGATAGGCAAAACCAACAATTTTCTTGGTGAACTTGGTGGCTCATCCCACGGATTGTAAGTAGGTTAGTTCACCCTGGTTTTTTCAGTGGAAATAGTCGGGTGATCATCCAATTATAACTAGGCTGAACTAACCTACTTGCGATCCGTGGGATGAACCACCAAGTGAAATCCACCATTTTTCATAGTAAGATTCCAATTCTTCATGGTTAAATGATGTTAAATGCCATTTTTTCATAGGCAAAGCCAGCATTTTTCGTGAAATCACTCATACTGTTGGTCCAAACGAGGCCAGTTGATGTCCAAGTGGGTGGCCAAGCGAGACGATGGGAACCACGGCCACGACGAGGGACGTCACCGGTGGGGGATGCCCAAAATGCAACGTCACTGGGCTTGGGTGATCCCGTTATCCAGGGAACGTTATCCCAGAATACCCAAGATCTATGGCAGTTCTTCTGATACCCATAGGATCCATGTATGCTATATATGGTAACATTTACCATCAATATACCCCATGTTAGCATATATACCATACATGGATTCTATGGGATAGGGAATTTTCGAAACCCTGAGATGGAATGGGGTTCCGAACCACTTCAGACGAAACAGGTATGTGAAGTTTCGTGGGCAAAAAACTGAACGTTTTCAGGACTGGCATGGCCTGTGTGTTTGTGAGTGGTTTCACATTGAGTCATTGTGAGTCTTAGCGAACGAGGCTGGATCGCAACGGCCAAGGACTCAGATTCTGGACGTTACATGATGGTTAAACAGGTTGGATCCCCCACAAAAATCAATGCATCCACCTTTCTCGGATACATGTCACCGACAATTTTTTCTTCCCCCAAAAGTTTTGCTGTTTTTTCTCTTCTCAGGCCACCATTTTTTCGCCAAGCCGTTGGTTGTTCCATGATTTTCCACGATTTGTCAGCATTTTCCCAGCATTTTCCAGCCGTTTTTCGTGGTTCCCCGGCCCCTTCACTGTTTTCGAAACTACGACGTCGTGACGACGAACGTCACAACGTGGGCCGAGGCAAGGGCCTGGGAAAGGACGCCGGAGCAGCCGCCCGCCAAGCGGGCGAGGTGCGTCGGCTGATTCGCTTGGCGGCGCAAGTGGGGGCCCCCTGGGGATGGCCTGGTTGGAGGGGGATTTTCATCCAATTTTATTTGTTTTCTTTAGGAATTTTGGAATTTAGGGGATGAACCGTTCTCAACCAAGTATTTTGAGGGATGATTTTGGGGAAAATGGAGACATTTGGATAGATTTTATGAGATTTTGACCATTGGTCATTGTTTTTTTTGGGCAGTTTTGATAAGGGGGTAGACACTGAAATATACTGTATCTGATTGTTTTGGAACATGGCTATTTGAGGATGGGTCAAACTCCTATGGTGAATGGAGAGGGATGTTTATTATTTCGATGTGAACAGCTGAGTATTCGGTTTTTGAACCCATTCTTACTTCCTGGTTTTCCTGGTATTTCACATTTAATCTTTTTCGGGCCAAAGCTGATGAACGAAAACCTCAGTATTGATTGTTATTGTTGAATAAGGGTTGAATATACCTCACTTTTTTTCTAGTTGTTGAATTGTCCAGCCTCAGTATTTCTGTTCCTCTTCGATGATTCAGCCGTGAAAGAACTGCGAGCGAGCCATAGTGACTTCGAGACCTGAAGAAGATGACGGAACAAATCCTTGGAATTAAGAGCTAAATGATATAATTTATGGGTATAGCAACCCCAAAAAAATAGAAGTTTGTAAATCTCACTTAGTGATACATCCCTTTTCTATCTGTTTGGATCTTTTTGGGGTTACTATGATGATCCCCAATATGATGACTCTCTCCATTATCCCGAATATAGTGATCCTCCATGTCGATCCATGTCGTATAATCATCACACTGGGGAAATAAGCGTCCATTACAATGTGGCTACTACCCCACAATATTGTAAACATGTCCAATTGTGGGGACAATCACACTATGCTTTTTTTTGACAATTTCCCTTGTTTTTTGAGAACATTCATATCCTGACTTTCCAGATTTCTCAACCGTGTTGCAATCACCAAACAGACATATTTCTGAGATCCTGTTGTAATTTAACATAGCTATTCATTTATATAAATTTCACATTTATAGATGATTTGCCGATGAAACATGCTTACCCATGGTGATTTTCACTAGGTATGTTAAACCATCGGAGGGTGATTGATACCCTCTGGTATAGTCAAACATGGCTCGAAAATCCTCCATTGGGTTCGATGAGTTTCCCATATTTATCCATCTAGTTCGCGGATTTCTTAGCTGGTCATGTTGGAACCGAAGGCTATGAACTAGCATTCTATTAATATCGCCACTAATATTCCGTTAGATCCCTATTGTATAGATCATATTTGATCTCTGATCTCCATCCCAATCCACCATTTTTCGGTGACATCCCAGTTTCTGTCGGTCAATTCACCTGTTGTGGTGAGAAACTCACCATTTTTGCTGCTGAAGAATCCACCATTTTCATCACCATTTTCATCGCCATGAAATCTCTGAGGAGGCTCGCGGTGATCCTCGAAGGAAGTCACAGTCAGAGTGCGCTCTTTCAGTGTGGTGCGAAAGTAATGGATCGCGGAAAGATCTCATATTTTTGGGGGCTATGCTTACAGTGGTAGATTCTAATCATCATTAGTTTTTGGGGATATAGTATATAATATATATATATATGATATAGTGTGTATGATATAGAATAATATATTATATAATATTTAATCGAAGGAAGTTTAGAAGTCAAACTTCCGACAATATGGACAGATGAAAAGCAGAGCAGGGCAGAGGCAGAGAGAAGAGAAAGATTAGAAGAGAGAAGATCAGAGAAGAG